CGTCCTTGGGCACAATAGGGACAACGTATATCTGGGTGATAGGGATGTGTACAATGAGGAAATGTTGGACACCCTTCAGGACAGACGGCGGCAGTTGCAATAGATTGATAATACAGAACTGCCCGGTGAGCCACAGACAAAGAGGGAGACGAGGACAACAACAAACGAGGGGCTGTTGTCAGATTCTTTCATCGGAATTTCAATGACCCGTCGTCATAGAGAACGCCGGGGTGAATCGTGGCCAGAGAGGGAGAAGAGGACAACAAACGAGGGGCTGTGAAAGATACAGACTGTTTCACTGGAGCTTCGCCACCTCATCAGAACGTATACGTCTATATATATAGATTGTGCAGATCAGAAAATTCTCTCTTCCCTATGCTCCAATCAAATCAAAAAGGAATCTTATGAGAGATTCGCTTCTATGATATATATATGTGATAGATATGAAGCGGGCTAGCGCAGTTGGTTGAGCTCGTAAGTGGTATTCAGGAGGTCGTGGGTTCAATTGCCCAAGTCATCCATCGGATCCCCCCCCCGTGGCCCCTTGTCATACACTTCGGGTACACCAGTTGAGATAATTGGCTTGGGCCTCCTGGCTGGTTGCGGAAGAATCTGCTGGAAATCCCCCCCCCTTGGCCCCTTGTCATACACTTCGGGTACACCAGTCGAGATAATTGGCTTGGGCCTCCTGGCTGGTTGCGGAAGAATCTGCACTTTCCAGCTCGCACCGAGTGTTAGGAGCCAGGGTACTGCTCCCCGCATAGAGCAGAGTCGGGTAGAAGGCTGGGATGCACTAGGGAGAATGTCAGGAGGCCAGGAATCCAACCCATAACCCTTGGCGTCCCGTGCTGAGAAGGTGTATATATGTGAGGAAAAATTGGGAGAGAAAACATATAGCTGTGCCCCGATGAGGAGAAGACGGCTTAAAAAAAAAAAGATATGATAGGATGATGATGGACCAAGTCCAGCCACACCAACCAAGCAAGTGACCAACCAACCTGTCTCATGTAAGCTCCAATTGCCTTGCACCCATCCATCGCCAGGTTGAAGGTCTTCTCGAAAACATCGATCGGCAGTCTGGAGTCCATCTGGAGCAGACTAACCTTGTCAAGCTTTGGTTGCAGGCCCACGGTGAGATCGGGACCACCACCAGTTTCTTCCAAGGAGTTCATATCTATGAGGGGTGTCCCATTGAGGTAGCCTGCGGCGCACGCGGCCACCAGGTCCCTCATCGGAATCCCTGCATCGGCGAGCGCCAAAGTCGCCGCATTTATGCAGGCGCTTCGCGTCCCTCCATCCGTCTCCAAGACCTGGACGTAGATGTCGATCTGCGATCGGGGCATCAGATGCGTCAGCACGACAGCCTCCATAGTTTGCTTGATCGCCAGCGAGGTCTCGATGGAGCGCCGGTCGCCCCTTGTTCTCCTCCTCCGTTCCGCGGTGCTGAACGCCGCCATGCTGTACTTGCACTGAACTCGTGCCCGGTCATGAAAAAGCTTCGCCCTCCCAACAATCTCGTGGGGGCCATAGACGACAGCCATGACCTTTGTGTTTCCCATCTGAAAGCAAGCAGAGCCGTCTGCACTCTCGAGCACCCCCACTTCACATCGCAATTGCCGCAACTCCGGTGGGCGCCGCCCGTCCAGCCGTAAACCTTCCGGACTAACGTACTCCATCTCTCTCTACACCACAGGGCAACAAACAACACCCTCTATTCCAACAAAGGGCAACCGACGAGTAGAGCAAACCTCTCTACTTTGGTTGCTGTCGGCACGGCTCGGGCGCGGTTTACGTCCCCGCTGTCCAGATCCCAGCAAGCGAATCTCCCAGCTCCCAGCAATTCCCAGTCCAGATCTCAGCGGATTCCCACCCACTCCTCGCTCCCCGCGATTCCCAGTCCCGTTCTTTGCAATTCCCAGTCCCAATTCCCAGTCTAGTTCCCTGCCATTCCCAGTCTAGTTCCCTGCCATTCCCAGTCCAGTTCCCAGTCGTTCCCAGTTGACAAGTCACTCCCAGTCCAACTCCTCAGCGATTCCCAGATCCTCGTCTTTTCCTCCTCCTCCTCCTCCTCCGGTTTGGCGTCAAAAAGTGAATGGAGACAATCCAGCACGCACAAACAGCGACGCCGCACCAATGACGCGAGGAGCAAGCACGCACCTCGACGCCGCACCAATGGTGCGAGGAGCAAGCACGCACCTCCGTTCAAAAGCACGACACATGCCTGGCAGCAATGTACTCGAGCAGGCGTTGGTGCGAGGAGCAAGCACGCACCTCCGCTCAAAAGCACGGGATATTCCTAGCAGCAGTGTCCTCGACCCGACAAGGGGGTCGTCGATGCGGATCCGGTTGTCAATGGGGCGTGGCAAGGCGAGTGGCCGTTTGAAGACACGCACCCACGCACCCTCATTGGTTGGCTTCAAATACACACAGCAGCATTTCATAAAATTGACTGCTGTTGACGGTACAGGATGCGCCTGGGCAAGCAGCAGTCAGCGAACGAAAAGCCTGAGGCCTGGAGTGAGTGACCACGGTAGAAGTGAGTGACCACGGTTAAAGAAAATGCCCTGCGTTCCCACAAAACAGTAACCACAGTTAAAAGTCCTGGACGCCCCGCAAAAGCCAGGGGATGGGTAGACGACAACACCCCCACCCCTCCCCCACTCTCTCCCCCTCCCCCGAATCCCGCCACCCCAACAAAAGAGGGGCCTCGAATGGATCATTTTTTTTGACCCAAGGGTGACGGTTCGTGCTGGCACCGAGGGTGACGGTTCGTGCTGGCACCGCCGTGTGAGAAATCATACTTCCACCATAATCAAAAAGAAAGAAAAGATTCGTTGGATTATATTAGATGCAACGGTGACGGTTCGTGCTGCAGCACAGCTTCTCAAACAAAACAGAACTATCCCGGTAAACCGCAGGCAAAGAGGGAGAAGAGGACAACAAACAAGGGGCTGTGACAGACAGACTGTTTCGTCGGAGTTTGACCAACTCCAACTCATCAGGAGGCTAACCCCCCCCACCTCGGCTGCAGGCCACTAACGAGTTACAGGTATGCTCGTGGTAGAGCTCCTGACCTCCTCCTCCACCTACTGCTCCTCGTGCTTGCCCAGCTCAGATGGAGTGTACTATTCTTTCGGCTTTTGCTGAGGTATACCGTGGGGGGCAAAAAACGATTAAACAAACTGGGCGACCAACCCCTGCAGATAGGACAAAACCCCACGGTCGTCGGATCCACATCGTTAATCGAAGGGAGGGACTGAAAAGAGGGCAGCCCAGCCCTCCTGGACTCCCCAGGAAGGTGGTAATTAAAGGGGGGGTACTAATTGGGGGGAGGAGGGGGTGTTTAAACCCTTGGGGGTGCCAGCCACTCAAATAGCCGGCACAATTATGACGACCCTCAGCCCAGTTTGGCAGGCATGCACGCATGCATTCAAACAAGGGTAGGGAAGGGAAGAAACCATCCTTCCTGCCCTCATGAACACAGCCCCGGTAAACTAAAAATTTGTATAAAAAAAAAACACAAACACACAACACCCCCGGTTAAAAATAAAAAAATAATAATAATAAAAAAAAAGGATCAAAGAGACAACACCCCCCGCTTATTATCATAGAGTAGCAGCTGATGCGGAGGTAGGGCCCTCTTCCCTATAATCGTGCCCCCTACCGTCTTCACCCGAATAGAACGCCCGGTCATTATCGCTGCATCTGGACTGAAAATTGTGCCAAATACAGCTATAATGACCGGGCGTTCTATTCGGGCGAAGACGATAGTACAACGCACCCTCCTCCCGCATCATGAATGTATGGACCGGACAGATAGAAGATAGCTCTTGCATCCCGTCATGCTCAAGGTGCGTTGATGATAGCTTGTACACATTCATGATGCTCAGGGTGCGTTGCGTTCGGGGGAAGACCGTAACGTGCTCTGACGAGGGATGGAATCGACTTGTGCTAAACAAAGGAATGCATTCCCCTACCTACATCTGACAATATGACTCACCAAGAACAGAAAAGAAAGTTTTTTCTTTAGCAAGAAGACTAACTACTCACGAACGGTGCAGAGCACCTAGCCTAGATATGAGAAGAAATTACGGTAAGAATTGAGTCCACAATGACCTCACGAACGGTGCAGAGCACCTAGCCTAGATATGAGCCATCCATGCAACTTCTACACACGTGTAACTAACTACTAACTAGCTGTCAGGTAGTAAATATACAGAGATTGGCCTTCCGATAAATTCAGATAAAAATAAAACAAAAAACGAAAAAAGTGGTGGAAGGGGTGACCTCCTCCCCCCCGCCCCAGAAAAAAAGGGGGAAAAGGTGGAAAGTCTACAGCAGAAGGGAGCTGCTGGCGGCCAACTAGCGGGCAAGACCACACACCCAGTTCATGCAACTTTTCGTTTTTTCTCTTTTGTCTTCGATTGCCCAGAGAGCTGTGCCTCAAGTGCCAGCGGCGTGTCTAGGGTGCATTTTCTGGCTGTACCAGGCTTTTCCTTGTTTCGAGAAAGGAGGGAGGGGGGGGTGCTGGCTGGCTTATGATGGGGGTTGTAAACCTACAATCCAGTTTGTAGATGCGGGTTGTGAATCTACAATGAAAGTTCGTAGAGCATTCCGTCTGGGGTGGATGAGTAATAGTCTGCTTTGAGTTTCGTCACAGGTACCCACCCTTGAGGGCAGTGGGTGGTGGTCCCCACCTCCTCGGAGGTGAATCACTTTTTGGGGCAGTGGATGCTTGCGTAACGGCAAGCGCGGTTAAGGTGGGGATTAACCATAACCCTTGAGGGCAGTGGGTGGTGGTCCCCACCTCCTTTGCAGAGTCCCCTTACAGTTCGTCCATCGGTAAGGGGACTCTGCAGACTGTAGAGGGTTCAGCCTCTCTCCTGATTGATGAGCCAGTTTCGGTGAAACTCCGACGAAACAGAAACAGTCTGTCTGTCTGTCGCAGCCCCCCCCCGTTTTCCTGTCCCCTTTTCCCTCTCTGCCTTCAGTTCACCGGAGGCACAGTCCTCTATGCAGATATATGTATGTGTAACAGTGTTCTATATTCTACGTAATCATTATTTAAACAACTATTGTTACATCAACTCGCATGATTTGATGATTATTATGTATCCACAATGTGCAATTTCCCTTGCCCTATTATTTTACTTTCACTATTCCATCAGGTTTTCTGAATTTTCATTTTATTTACCAGTACTACGTAGAGGTTTTCATTTTGTTTATACCCACTATGTAACAGGTTAACGAAAAGAAAATTCCATTTTCGGAGAGCAGACGAAAAAGATTAGAAAACACAAACAAAGTTTAACAAACAGATGAAACAGATTAAAAAACAAAAACAAAACAAAGATTCAGGTACATGAAAACCTAGCAAACGGATTTCGAGGGTCGATTCTCGCCATAGCCCGACGACCGAACGAAGCTCTCTCTCTCTCTCTCTATCTATCTATCTCTCTGTGTGTGTGTGTGTGTGTGTGTCTTATACTCCGTGATGCTATCCTCTCTCTCTCTCTCTCTCTCCCCACCCTTTTTTTTTAGGGGAGGCACAAATTCTGCCAAGCTCCGACAAAGCCACGCCGTCCTCTCCTGAGCGTGCACGTGTTCACGGGTTCCATTTTTTTGTTCTCCTCACAGCCCTAAACCCTACACACGAAAAGAAAACACCTCTCCATCACCAATCTATTAGTTGATTGATTGACTTCATTGAAGTTGATTGTATTGGATTGGATTGGATTTTGTAAACTTTATTCCGATTTGATTGAATCGATTTGCTGTGATTTGATTCTGATCGACCGATTGATGGATGGATGGATGGATGGATGGATGGATGGATCGACTGGTCCTCGTTGAATTGATTCAGTAAGCGAGTGAGTGTGAGGCATACTCACATTCCAACCTCCCTGGACGTACTGGATGACCCGTTGCAGCTTCTCTGGCAAGAAAACACAAGGCCAACGAAGTTTCTCTGTTTCTTTTATTGTGTGTATTTAGTTCACCTGATATTTGCGATTTCCCATAGGAGGACCCTTTTTTCCCCTTGTGCTGTGTACAATGACCCGCGCAGTTGCACTCTGATGTCCTGTTGATCTGCTTACAGAGACTTTCAATTCCAAGTCTTGTTTGCTGTGTTTCGCAAGTAGGTATGTGATCAGCAGATGTTGTGTGTATGCCGTGTGCTTGCCTGTTCTCTCTCTCTCTCTCTCTCTCTCTCTCTCTCTGTCTGTGTGTGTGTACCGCCAGGACGCAGCATCCGCAGCAGGAGGTGAATGTGGAGAAGGACGAAAACACGAAAAACCTACCCTCAGAGTAAGTGTGATGACGGTCTTTTCTATACTCTCCTGATGCTGAGGGTTATAGGCATCGAAGGCAGAAGGAGGATTATGTGGAGGAGGAGGAGGACGTGGGGGAGGATGATGACGTGGCGGAGAAGGATGATGTGGAGGAGAAGGATGATATAGAGAAAAAGACCTGGAGAAGGAGGGCGAAAACATGAAAACCCTTTCAGTCTTCCTTGCCCGTGTACACTTCCAAAACCCTGATCAACACACCATAGCCATATAATTTCGCACCTTCAACTTCTTCCACCACCCACCCATCCTCCATACTCATCTACCTCTACCAACCCTCCATCTCCCTCTACCTTCATTCGTCCTCCCGAACCATCCACCTTCCCCATTCAATCTCCATGCTCATCCTCCATCGCCCATTCACCTTCTTCCACCCTCATCCACCCGCCATAGCCATCCACCTTCAGCCCTTACCTTCTTCCACCTTCATATTGTGATGATGGCCTTCCCCGCACTCTCCCTGGAGGCCGAGCGATCTTGGTATCCGGGGCAGAAGGATGAAGTGGAGGAGAACCCGTGCTCTCCTGGAGGTAGGATGATTGTGGCCTCCATGGCTTCAACATGGAACCGGACATATGCAGAGGCTGGCGTGGAGGAGGAAGAAGGGGAGAGAAGGACGAAGTCGAGGAGGGGAGGATCACAGAAGAAACACGGGGAGGAGGAAGACATTGAAGAGAGATAGGGAGGAAGGAGCATGGTCAAGCGAAATAGAAAGAGAAAACCGGAATTTACTATAAAGAGAAAGAAAAATGAAACCACCATAGCCCCCTCATCCTTTTCCCTTCCCGCTTATTCCTACCGTCAGCAAGCTCATATCCCTAACCCTCCACCTCCTCAGCTCACTCGCTGATAGAAAACCAAAGTTTTTCTCCGGTTGTCGTCTGCTCTTTTCTCATCCCCACCCGCTCTCTCTCTCTCTCTCTCTCTCTCTCTCTCTCTCTCTCTCTCTCTCTCTCTCTCTCTCTCT